ATAAAGGAAAACTTACAGCGAAATTAATTAATGATTTAAGTACTTTTTACGGACTAGCTATTCGCAGACATCAAAATTCTGTGGATGAAATGTATAAAGCAATTTGGAGTACTCTGTATCACAAGAGTTCATCTGACGACAATCCGAAACATGATTATTGCCCGGAGGGGCCAAATTCTTGGTGCACTTGGCAGCGAGCAAAAGCTGTACGACAAAGCGATTATACACACAAAACACCGCTTCCTGATGTAGTCATTGATGCAATCACTCCCATTTATAAAGATTTGAGTGATAAAAGGTTACTTGAAAAATGCTTGGGAGGTTTTACTCAAAATAATAATGAGAGTTTTAACAACATGATTTGGAGCATCGATCCAAAAACAACATCAAGTGGAGGTATAGTCGTAGAAATCGCTGCAAGCATTGCTGTTTGTATTTTTAATGATGGATACACCGATGTATTAAAAATAATGGAGCTGCTGGGAATTAGAATTGGACTGTCAGCATCACAATTTCGCGACTACAAGGACGATCAACGGCTTTCACTTGCAGACCTCCGAACGCAAGCGGCGACGCGTGAGGAAAGATTGCGAAGAAAGCAAAGCAGAAACGAAGCCGAAGAACTAGCTATTGCTTCAGAAGGCACTTCATATGCACCCGGATTGGACGCACTTTGGTTCGTTACAAAATTTTATCGTTTTATATGAACCAATTAGTTGTAAAACTTTAAACGCGTTTTTCTCGAAACCACGTTTTCGTAACTGGGCGCTCTCATATCTCGGCCAATTTTTATCCGAATAACTTGAAATTTGGACAGAATGTTTACAACAAAATTGTCTTCAGTTGCACGTACGGATTTTTCAATCGGATTATTAGTTTTTGAAAAACAATTAAAGAAGTAACGAATTTTTGTTGAAAAATCGAAAACTTTTTTTTTAAACAGTGCCATTTTGTCAAAAATTATTTTATCAAAAAATCCGTACGTGCAACTAAAACTACATTCATATACTTTAGATCACAATTAAAAAAATTTATTTCAGAGCTCCCGTTCAGATGCAGCACGAGCGCCCGTGCACCCATGTTTTTTCAGACGAGGTGCACATCAATCACCATAGTTATTATAAATATGAATATTATTTTATGAAAATTTTTTTGTAACATAATATAAGTATGTACTTTTAACATATATAGTTTATAAATTAAACAAACTATTAGATAATAAAAAAAAAATTCACGAAAATAGCCTTTTTTTCGGCCGTCACCCTGGTGTTCCCCCTTAAGGCTACAACAGATCACAATAGACTAAACATTTTTTGTGAGGACAATACCGGACGTAACATTTGGGCGACTAAAAACTTTAAGTATTTTCCCTTCGAACTTATATTTTCCCAGATGTCCTTACATTTTTATGTGTCAACAGGAAACTGTATGGACGGAAATAAACGATTTCGGCAAATCTAATTTTTTCTAAAAATCTTAACTTTATTTCAGATCTTTACATTCTTATCACAACTAGAGATGTGTCATATGTAACTTTAATTTTTTTTGTCAAATAATGAAATGGCAATCCAACAAATATGAATTACTTTTTTTAATATATAGTATTTCACTAAATATCATTTAAGCAGGAATGTATGTACAGGTAAGTACATGTAAGTATACGTATGTACACCTAAGTTACATGTATGTACACGTATGTACATAGAGGTAGAGCTATTGCAAATAGAGGTAGAGCTATTACAAAGTTCTTGTCTATTATCTACTTTGAAAATAACATTACGACGACTCATGATCATTTACAGTTTCTCTAAAGTGCTCGATACCCATAGACCATGTTACTGGTGTGTCTGTATTCACTGTCACCACACAATTATCGTATGTATTCGATGTGCTAACCAAACCACCGAATGTTAAAGACGCCTTATCTAAAACACAAAAACAGCAAAAGAATAAATAAGATTACATGCATTGTATTATATTTAACATAAAAAACATAAAATACGTATTATTAATGAGTAAATTAAAAATGAGCCAAATTAAACATACTTAAATTCCACTTTAAGCCGGTCGTTGAGATACATTTAACTGGAAACCCAAGTGGCATTAGACTGCACCAAGATTTGCACTGCACTAGTCTCTCTGGTATATTTATCTTATGCATACCACACCTTAATATCCATGTAAAGGAATTGGATGCAACTTGTATTACCTGTAAAAGAATCCTAAAGAAGATATTCAACATAGTTAAATGAGTGTATTTATGAAAAGGAAAAATTGAATATCTGCCTATAACTGTTGATTTAAATATCAGATGTGAAAAAGTGTACCAGTGCAAGCTTCATATTTTTACCTTGATATTTCCCACAAGCATTTTGCTTTTGTACAACGTGTTGGCGTTACCAATGATGTGATCAAACCTTCCTGTTGTTTCCACAAACACATATATTTTTTCCAACTGTCAACAATATTGTTTATTGTATACAACATATTTGAATTTTGCAATAATTTTCTAATATTTCTTCAAAAAAATATTAAAACTATTACATTTATATTTTTCAATCTAGCATACTCTTTGACTTGCACCAAGGCCTTAGTGAAGTCTGTATGATTTTGGTCAGGTGTTTCGACGACAATAGAACCCATACTTTCCAGCTTCCTAAACACGCTTTCTGAAGTGCTATCCATATCTCCCGTAATAAGATCAGGCACATATTTCTTGTACTGACCATTCAATATATTTATCCCTATGTCCTCTAAGTATTTCAGCCATCTAGTTGTTCCACCGTCCACAGTGACAGTAATCCGAGCTAAGTAATTTTGAAAAAAAAGCAAATCTTTTATCATATATAATTAAAATAATACATCTTTTGGAATAGAGAATAGAAGATTATATCTTTAGAAAATTCGAAATATAGATTCTGTTTTCAAAAAACATAACACCTTATTAATAGTTACTAAAGTATATAATACTGAGAAATAAAATGTTGAGATACTAAAAATAAGGAATGTTGTATGCATCTCTCCTTATGGCACTATTTCCATCTGAGTAATTATCCAGTTTAGCATTGAAAAAAGTTTAAAAAAAACTTTTTTAATAATATTACCTCCTATGTTGTCAAGATAGCCACCGGACTGAGGTTTAGGCATAACATATTTAAAATACAGAACGCAATCTTCATCAATATGACAGGTTTTCTAACCTGTCAACTATTAATATCTCGTTCTGCGAGTATAAAGCGAGGATTTTTCCAAATAGAATATTTGTTTACCATTAAAAAACGCGTCCATTTTGTCTATTTTCATCTATTTCTGAAGTAAAGATCCTGGATAATTACTTCTGTTTATTACCTTTCTCCCAAATTGAAAGCATTTGCTGTGGTTTCCATAATATAGGTCGATTCAGCACAAGAACTGCGTACTGACAATGTACAGGATGAAAAATATCAGACGGATTCCATACTGTCACATGGTTAGACTCTGATTCCTGTTGCATCGTGCGATTTGACGATAGCATGTGTTTCACCACTGAAAATTATTAATCGGCATATTAAAGATATTTGCAAAAAAATTAAGAAGCAATTAAGTAATGCTATACTGGATCTAGAAATTATTTATTTTATATTTCTCTTTTATATCATAAACTTTGTTTTGGGAAACATCAAAATAAAACCATACATAGTGTTATTTTAAACAATCTGTCCCACGCTCGTGCTTAATAAGATCTTACGTAATTGTAACTTCTGAGCCGCGTTCCGAATTACGCATATGCGCGATTTATCTATAGTTCATGTCACATATACTGTAGAAAATGTGCGTATAATGCGTAAAACGCAACGCAACCTTGGTCTCGAACGCGATGAGATCCTGTTTTATAGCAGTTGCTGTTGAAACACGTGCTCGTGCGTAAACTCATACTAGCGTTGTGGCTTACGCATCGCGAGAAATACGTAAAAAGTCGCAAATCTTATTACTATATACCTGTTGTACAACTTTATAAACTACAGCCACATATTTAACGACGATCGTTACTCGTTGGTTTAGTGGTGAAAACAAGACTTGTATTAGAAGAAACAGTCACGACGCTCAAGTGTCTCCATAGATCGCGACTATTAGTTAATTCGCGAATGTTCTTCCTACGTACTAGCACTTCACTAATGTATCTACTTGTGCATGAGCAAAATACTACCTACATTGTCATGTATGAAATTTATCCTACCCAAAGCAAAACATTGACGCGACATGCTCCTCACAACTGAACGTGGAAGAAGCCTTTTTAGGGCAGATTGTTCCTTGTACATTGATACTCATTAATTGAATCTTTTTTCGGTGTAGAATAGTGTAGATGAGCGCACCATTTCCAGGCTCTTGACGCGTATCTCTACGAGGGCCAGAATTTCGGGGGCCGAACATGTCTTTAACTATCGTGATTACTGCTAACAGCAATACGACATGCAGTTATGGTTATTTATATAAATATAAAAGCACAATTGATATCTTCAGCTATAATATTCGCAAGCGCGAATAATACATGAGCGGTGAGATCAGCCATTTTTACAAAATTGATATTATAATCACTATTATATGTCGTATTCCGCCAGCAGTGATCACGGTAATTAAAGATATGCTCGGTCTCGAAATTTTGATCCCCGGAGAGGTACGCGTTATGGCTCCTGCACACCGAACATTACCGCGTCCTGTGTGCAGGAACCATAAGATCTCTACTCGTGCCTAATGGCTTCTGCACACAGGACGCAGTAATGCTGGCCGCGTGGCAGAAGTTCACGCGACAGCCAATCAATATGCTGCTTTCCGTAATAACCTTCTAGCTCTTACGGAAAAACATATTGATTGGCTGTCGCGGGGACTTCCGCCGCACGGCAAGCATTACTGCGTCCTGTGTGCAGGAGCCATAACGCCGTCATTGAAAACTGCTTACGTTGAGCTGCTACGTCATTTCACGCATGCACAGAAGGGCTCATGTCATCTACAAAATATCGCGAACTCCCAGCACTGGGTTAGTGTAGCACAGGAGACGGTATTAACTTGTACATGCATGAGCAGAAAGGAGGACTGTACATACTCCATTTGTACATAACAACTTGGCCGCTTTATACATAATAAGTTAACAGTCTAGTAAAGTATAGAAGTCTGTGTTTCGATGTCCTTCCTTCCTTCCTTCCTTCAATATTTGGCTAGAGGCGCATCCGTGACTCATGCCCCAACGCTATTACTTGTGTTTCGACGTCGATCGATAAGTAATTTCTCACTGGGAGAGCAGGAGTAAAAGCAAGACCATAGGATATTACAGTTATAGATGGGAGATCATACTATTCTCTCGAATCCAGCTCGATTACTCGCTCTGCTCTCGTTATCGTAAGCACCCATTGAGTCGCTCCACGACCTCAATTTTTCGGTGTTATTGCGCCTCGTAACGGAGACTTTAGAACTAAACTCAGAGGTAGAAATAACGGGTTTTAGTATTTCTTAGATTCCTTTATATTTTCTGCAAAAATAACGGGTTTTAGATTGTGTTCTTGAGACTCCTCTCTTATTCACTGTCAATAAAATTAATTTATCCTTTGCTCGATCTGCGCGCGTTGCAAATATTTGCTAGTAGATCCTACTGAGCTCGAGATATTGAAGAGGCCATATCAATGCGCTCGGTCGCTTCTTTTACGTTGATGGTGGTGAAAGAGATTGATTTCGCATGCTCGACCGTGGTGAGAGATCTTCGTCTTCGCCGCTCGTCGACCAGTACAGTCGATCCATGTTTGTCACGTACCGGCTGATCGACGCTACGTTACCAGCTTGATCCTCGCGGGATTTGCAAGCTCTTTCGAAGAGCAATACGTTTTAACGCGCACAGTGGCATCTCCCTCCCACGTTTCTATCGTCCCCTCCTCTCTCCTCTCACTCTGTCTCTCTCCCATCTCTGTCTCTCTCCCACCTCTGTCTTTCTCTCCCTCTCTCTTTCATTCTACGTGCTGCGGACTTTTTGGGATCTCTTGAGTAGGGCGCAAATGCACACGAGCGCGACGCGCAGATAGGAACGTAGGAACAGAGAGAAACGAGCAGCCGGATAAAACGAGCGGGTGAGCGAGTGAGCGAGCAAGCGAGCGAAGGCGCGCGCGTGCGACGTCTCGCCGTACGAGGGCTGAGAACGACGACGCAGCGTGCTTCGCGACGAACGGAGAGAGAGAGAGACGAAAACGCGGTATGGAGACCCTCGAGTCGAGCCGCGTGTGCCGCCTTTGCGGCCAGCAGTCCGGCATATCCATCAATATCTTCGACGAGAATGAGAACCACGTCAGGAAAATCAACGCGATGCTGCCGATCATGGTATGTTACGCTTCGTCTTTCTCTACTTCTTTCCTTCTCTCTCCCCCCCCCTCTTCCTCCTTTGTCACTCGTTCACTTGCTCTTTTTCTCTCTGTCTCTCCGCTGCGCGCTCTCTCTCTTCCCCTTTTCCGTTCTTTATCTTTCTTATTCCTGTTCAAGCGTCTGCTATTCAGTCTCTCTCTCTTTCTCTCTCTCTTTCTCTCTCTCTTTCTCTCTCTCTCTCTCTCTCTCCCGCACCCTTTAGCAATTCTCCCTTCTACCAGAAGGTACACGTTATCGCGCTCTCATGACCGTGCACATGGGCGCTTTCTTTCGCGCTCCTTGCTTGGCACAATAGCATCTACTTCCAAACTCACCATTTTACCCCTAACCAACCACTTGACTGAAGAACGATGGGCTTTGCTTTGTTCTATTGTATTTCCAGTCCTCCCCTATTCTCTTCTCACCCCTGTTGAGCGTGTATTTGTTTCGTGTCGCTGGCAAAAGGTACAAAAAATGGCATAGAGCGATGCCAGAAACAGGGCTCTGGCATTTTAGAGCGCGGTGGGCCAAACCCGCGCGAGCGAAATTCGGGACTGGCTGTACACGCACGTGTCACCCTACATAGGGGTGAGGAGATGCGGGAGATATGCGTGTCCCCGACCTCGCATATGAGATGACCCGAGCGACGAGCTAATACATTGCGAGCGAATTCCCGGGTCCTGGCGATTCTATCGATTATATCGCTAAAGTGAGGTTATCGTTGCTTTCGCGCGCGAACGCGCTGCGAATTGCGTAACCCGCATAGTCCAAGCGACCTTGAATTTTCGCATAGCCGCGAATCGCGGGGGTGGCACATTGGAGATTGCTTCTTTGCATTATTTAGTATAGCGTTTATGTAGTCATCGGAATTTCGTCCCTCTCCTTTCATTCTTCCGCTCTCTCTCCACATGTTTCGTTAACGTTCAGATATAACAAATAATCGTAAACACGCGTGTATAGAGAGAAAACTTCTATTAAATCAATAATTTCAGAGACTTAGACTCAATCCATCCGTCCCGTTATTCGTCGATAACCCTGTTCACGATATTCGTTAATCACGATAACTTGAAGATAAGGTATCTTGGAGTTACTGAGATTATTCGATTATTCTGTGAAAATTAATGAAGCACGTCGAATCTACATTGCACCGAGTGTACACTCGCAGATTTAACAGCTGTGTTTTTCTCCACACTTGAAATCCCGATGACACAAACAGTATGATTCATTCAGATTCAGCACGCGCGTATACAAATAATACGCATAATCCTTTCTATATACACACACACACACACACACACACACACATATATATATATAATATATATATTATATATATATAATACATATATATATATATATATATATATATATATATATGATAAGATAAATAATATATATAAATAATACAATTTTCTTTATAATGCCATTTGCATAATTTTACGTACTCTAGTACAATTAAACATTTCGAAATGAGGCGGAATGTACATTTATTACTGAATCAATCATAAATTACAAATTAGCAATCAAATCAACGACATATGTCGTATTCGTTTCACTTTGAAGCTATTAGCGAGAACAACCGGTTGTGAAAGCAACGCGATAATGTTAATGAACGGAAGTTTCCAAGCTTGCAGCGTACCCTGCACACGTGTCCAACATGCACACACATACACACACGCGTGCGCGCGTATGTCCAAAAGGCGCGCGTCCACCTGAAGTAATGATGCACTTAACTATTTCCCGTTCCCTTGCTGCGACTTGATAATTTAGTTCTTAGTAAATACTGTAAAATTTGTGCGCGAAAAACTCCACCGACAATTGAACGTGGAACCGTCAAAGAGTTTGGAATAACAACGACGCAATAACTCTCTTCTTCGCGGGGAACTTGGGAAGATTAATCGTGAGCTCGAGAAAGTTACGTTTAATTGATCTAATTAAACCTATAAATTTCTAATCTAAGTAAATCAAGATCTTTCTTTCTACCTTAATCTATTTGGATTGGTGTAATTAATTTTCTCCAGTTTGGAATTTGACGTTCTTCTCCAGGACCTCTTGACAAAGTCGGCTCAACCACACTTAAAACTTTCCGAGTTTGTTTTCATTTTCCGATTTTTACTTTAATTTTATAGAGTATTTGAAGACGATCTATACTGAGAAAAATACTTGAAAATTTACTTGTGGGATATAAAGTTAATTTCTGTGAATAAATCAAACAAATTTATGTTCCAGAAATAAATGTTCATGTATTTTTTCTCAGTATAAAAGCAATCAAATTGTCCCGCAGGTGCATGAGATGGACCTGCTGCCGAAGCATATGTGTCATCGGTGCAGCTACAAACTGGAGGAGTTCCACAAATTCTACATAGATATCCTGAAGACGGACGCGACGCTAAAAGGCCAGCTTTCGTGGATGCAGAAAGGTCGCGGTAGAGAGAAGATCGGTGTACCAATGGTGCATATCGAGAACGTGAACATCAAAACGGAGCCGTTGGACTATGACGTGTACGAGCTGGAGCCAATAGTCGAAAACATCGACTACATCAACTCGATGGCAAACTCTGTGGCATTCCCAGCCAGCTGCATTCGCGAGGGTTTGACGTACGCGGCGTTCTCACGTTGCCGATGTTGCTGTGATAAGGACCAAAGCAGGCGAAGGACTACGGCGGAACGGCTGTGTCGGAATTACAAGGGCTCGGTGTCGAGGTGCGCCGAGATCGCGGATGATCCACGGCG